CTATTCGTCTGGTTTTTCCTATTCGGCTGTTTACGGCATTCATATGGTTTCCTGTTTGGCGGATTGGTGTTCTGCAGTAGCTGTGCTTGTGTCTCTGGAAGGGAAGATCTACTAAACGGCGTTTTAACCCTTTTATGCTGAGGGTGCCATTACAGGAACAAATAGCTTGACAGACAGACAGAGGTTCAGATTGTATAGCTATACTATATGACTAAATACCCAAGCTTTGTCTAAGATAGGTAAGTCACAGTATCTTCAATAACGAATACGTGCTATAATCTCAAATCCATAAACCTAGCTGATATGTGCGACTTTGCACTCCTTCCTAATCACTAAATTTAAAGGAACACTATAGTAACCGAAACAACTTTAGCTTAATTAAGCAGTTTCAGTTTTGCTGTATAGATCATGCCTTTGCAGTCTCACTTTTTAAGTCTCTGTCATTTATGAGTTAAATCACTTTGTTTATACAATCCTAGTCACACCTCCCTGTCCGTGTCTTACACGGTCTTCCTAAACTCTTCCTGTAAAGAGTCAACCAATGTTTACACTTCCTTTACTGCAAATTATGTTTACTTTAGAATTTCTTGTCTCCTGCTCTGTTAACCCCTTAACGCCGTTACTGCGTTTTATGCCGTCCTGGCTTTAAAGCTGTTGCAGCGGCATAGAACGCCGTAAAGGCTTTCAGCCCCAGGAGGTAAGATTTACTTACCTCCGCCCCGATCCTCTTCTGGAGGCCTGCCTCACTGCCCAGGCAGCCCTCCCCTGGCAAATGAGGCCCCCGGGGGCCATGTGATCGCTCTCAAAGAGCGATCACATGGCCCCCTATAGCTGGCTGTGGATCTGCCAGCAGGGGGACTGTCTGAAACACTGGTCAAATATTAGTTTTTTGCTTTTTTCACACAAAAACAAATATGAACGCTAACTTTGGCCAGTGTTTGTGACTAAGTGGCTACTAAAAAAGACTAAACGTACCCCACTTTCAATACCTTGGCTTGTCTACTTTTTCAAATGGCATGCCATCATGGGGGTAATTCTCATTCCTGGGCTACCACACCGTCTCAAAGTCTCAAAGGTAACATTACTAACGTTCTATATTTGACCCTGTAACTTTCCAAAACACCATAAAACCTGATGTGCATTTTTTTGCAGTAAAACCTAACAGTATTATGACATTAACAGCTAAAATGTCAGACGGAAATACAATTTTTTTTAAAAAAAAGCTTATTTTCTCAAATTTTTTTAAATTTTATTCATAATAAATTATGTTCCATATATGAATAGTTAATGATAAATTAAAGCCCTGTTTCTCCTGAACAAAATGATATATAATAAGTGTGGGTGCACTTAATGTGACATCGGTGAATTACGGGTGAACAGACATATAGCGCAAATTCCAGTTTTTGTTTACGTTTTGTTTTGATCAGAACGTGTACTATTGACTCCGTCCTGAAGGGGTTGATAGCTTGCTAGACCAGCAGGAGACTCCTGTTTGTAGTCAAAATTAAATTTACAGAGTAAGAGTTTAAATATTTTAAAATAAGTTACATGTGATTGAAAATTTACAAAAAAAAATGTATGCAGGCTATGTCAATCACAGCCAGGGGACGTGTGGTTAGGGCTGCATTAACAGCCTGCTTAAAACTTACAACCTGCTTAAACTGCTTAATTAAGCTAAAGTTGTTTTAGTGACTATATTGTCCCCTTAAGGGGGTTTAACCCTGTGTGTGTTCATCCCCAACCCCTAAACTCTGCCCCTGAGTGCACTTAAAATGCTGTTTACTGTATTACCCATCATTCTTTGAAATCCTTTAAAAAATAGATAAGGCTTAAAAAAATTTTTTTTTTTAAAAGACAGATTTGATAGATCTTATTATTCACGAATATTCATAATATTTTGGCTGTAATATTGATCACCAATGTGGGATATTGTTTTTCAAACTTTACACATTAATTTGCGGCTAAAAATAAACCAATTGTAAGACTATTTCTCATGAGCCTATTTTACGGTGCACGCAATATGGTATTGCTAAGGCGATTTTGAAAATGAAGCAAATGACTCAGAAATGGTGCGTGGAATACAGCTCCTCACTGTATTGAAGAGGAAAGTGATTCTCTATCTAAGAGGCATTGTTTTTAATCGTACGTAATCCAACCGAAGCTTTTTAAATAAGCGGAATTTAATATTCTGTTGTTTGGCTTCCCCAGAGTGTCAGGGAAAACTTCAGCACTTTACTTTAAATCTGAGCAAGTTAATTAAATGTGTGAGCTTTGTGTTTAATCCCTTTTATATCTAAAATAGATCTCTCCGCATTCTCTCTCCCGTGCCAGTGTCTGACCCCATAATCCTATTAAACAAGGGAGATCTGCACAAAGTGAGCACTACACACAAGGCCAGTAGGAGGCGCTACTGCCATGCTACCAGTGTAATATCTATATATATATATATATATATATATATATACATACATACACACACACAAACACATGTATGTATAAATAGCAGTCTATACATTATACATAGGTTGCCACTGTACACTACTGATGTTTCATTCTGGCTTTCAGTATTGCTTCTGAATTGATAAAGGGAACTTGTTACTCTAGGAAATATGCCCTTGAATCTTAAAGTCATTCCCTTACCAAAAAAACCCCCATACTGTTATACTAATTTATTTAATGCCTGCATCACTAGACTAGCACGAGTACTTTAAACTACATATTGTGATGCATAATAGGCAAGTATTTGCTATTTGTAATAGCTTATTTACAGGACATTCATTTTCTGCGTACACTTTGCAAAACAGATTTTACCTCGTTCATCTTTTCAAGTAAATGTCAGTACACGAAAAAGGTATTATTATACACTGCAATATTTTGTTATAATGCATTTATTCAACATACCCGCACACACAATCTTGTGTGATTATAGTTAATGCGTAACAATTATGCATAAGTAATACAGAGAGGGGTGTGTTGTTTGCACTTTTAGAACTGTATAAATGTTTGTGTTATTTGAAAACTGCTCAGAAAAGGACATCTACGTCTGTTCATATATTATAAATAAATTACTACATACACAAGATATAGCTACTTAAAGGAACACTATAGGGTCAGGAATACAAACATATTTCTGACCCTCTAGTGTTAAAAACACCATCTAACCCCCACATCACCCCTAAATATAGTAAAATCTTACTTTTATTCCAGTCTGCTGCTGTTGCTGCTGGCTCTGCCCCGATCTGCCTGCTTGGCTGACATCATCAGAAGTGGCGATCAAAGCCAATCGCAATGCTTTCCCATAGGAAAGCATTGGATTGGTTGAGACTGTCAAGGTGGCAGATCAGGGGAAGAGCCAGCACAAATCAAACACAGCCCTGGCCAATCAGCATCTTCTCATAGAGATGCATTGAATCGATGCATCTCTATGAGGAAAGTTCACTGTCTCCATGTAGTGGAGGGTATCTCTAGGCTGTAATGTAAACACTGCCTTTTCTCACAGCAAATGATTATACTCACAAGAACAAATACAATAAGCTGTAGTTGTTCTGGTGACTATTGTGTCGCTTTAATACTGCTTGCAAACACATACGAAGCATCACAAACATTGAAAACCACGCATACAAACATACTTTTCCATGATCCATCAAATCAAATTAGTAGGTGAGAACATAGAACACTGTCATCATACATCTGAACATCTTTCAACACAGAATATGCTTAACAAACAGTTTAAAAATCAAAACCAAAAAACTACCTATACCATACCACTAAACACCTCCACTTCTGAAGACAACAGCTCTCAGCAAGAATCTCACTTCAGCATTAACATGCATGAGGATGAGCGTGGCCATTAGTTGCCCTTTACACGAGGTAGTCAGCTCAGAGAAAGCACCGAAAGAACAGAACAAATGAAACAATGTTTCTATTTCTCTTCCTCGGAAGTAATGTTTGCTCTGGCTCTGCCTGGACTGAACTGGGTTGTGATGTCATTTGCTAAATCTTTAAAATTAATTTAAAAAGAAAATGGCGCACCACGTAAACAAAAAAAGGTTAGCACATGTTATATAATGTTTTAACCCATTGTGTAATTTGCAGAGAGATGATGGTTTCCCTTTCAATTCAGACTTGGTTGGTTTGTCTTTTTTGGGCATGTCTCTTGACATTTATGTAAAGTGATGCACAATGCCTCACTGATACAGCCCAGTCACTTCCTGCCTCCATCCTTACTGTCCTGGTTTCATACCTCTCAATCGTTTACATCAGCCTGCAGTGGTTATGGTACATAAACTGTTTATTTTAAATGAAAAGTATAAAGCACTCTAAACATTGCTTCTAGAATATAGCATCTCCTTATAAACATATCGCAATATTACTGGTGGCGCATTGGTTAAACAAATAAAACATATGCCAATTGTATATTTTGTAGTTTCCCATCAGACACCATTCACACCATCTTCTCGTGAATATTCTATAATTTTCTTACATTTCAGGCAAGGACTAGACAGTTTTATCACCAGACACTAATATTCCCTCAAGTCTCATGTGATTTCACACATTCTATTGCAGTGTTCCCAAGATCTATATCTTACAGCAAGGGTGTCTAAATGATCTTGAAGGTTGTTATCCCACCAAAGTATTAGGATTCATCTAATTAACATGTAATTATACAACTAACAGTTTATCACGGAGCAATGTGCTAAATGCTCAACTGTCTTACAGCCCCCAAGGACTAGAGTTTACACAAATTCTGTGCCTCTCTTTCATCAATATGCTTACGCTCATAAACAGAATGCCAATGACATTTCCCATTGGATCCTGTACCCATAAAATGTTTTCCATAAGAACCTGATGACATACAAGTGTTCTACTAGATATTACGAGTGCTGTCATTGTTTAACCAGTGAGTATTTGTCCCACCTCTTAAGATCCCCTTACTTATTTTATATGGTACATGCTATACTTCCCCCCCCCCCCCAACCCATTTTATATTCCCTTCTTACCTTTCCCACATAAAGTGGTTCTGTCCCTGTATATTCCTCAACCACAAAGAATTGGTTCCAAACCCAGCCACGTTTTACTCGGCCAGACACCTCCAATGACAATCCCGTTTCCATTGAAACCATTCCCAAGAGCTTTGGGCTGCAAAAAATCAGCACCACAGTCCAGGCAAAGCCTTGAGCAGCCATTCCAAGTCCACTGGGTCTCCAAGACCTCACATCACGCAGCAGGTAGTTGTAAACCATGGATGGTGGTGATAGAGAGTTCCATAATTACCACATCCCTCATTTATAGCCATTCTGCTGAGGCATTCTTTAAATGAACCAGACAGTACCTAGGTTGACTGTGGTGGGATGTGCAAGACCAGTCGAAAATGTCTGAATTTAATATAAGATATATCAAAATGCACTAGGATTGGTTAACGCTAACCTGGACTGTGAAGATAGGTAGGAAGTTTAAGGTGCACAAACTTGTACAGTGTTGGAACCCGCTGGATGAGTTGTGATGCTACAAAACAGTAAAATAAATTGACGTGGACAGGTAAGTTGTATATTAGAATATAATGACATTAAAATAGATCTAGCTCCACTGATCTAGAAGTTGGTTCTCCGTGTTAAATTGGGACATTTGAATAATGCAACAATGTTCTACCACACACTGAGCTTTGAGCCTAGATTTTCTTAAACTTACTATGATGACCCCTACTGTGCTAGATCACACTATGTTTTTTTGTGGTGTAGAAGCTGTAATTGGATATAGTAAGGAGTACTGAATCGAGTTAATAAAATGTGTTCAATATAGTGCACTGGTAGAGGGAACACAATTAATGAACAGAGCAGGTATACAATGTGTATTTTTATGTACTGCAATATCAAGCTGCATGATATTTTGTCTTACCAAACAAGACCTGGATGTATTAAAAAAACTGAAATATATAAGGACCCTCTGGTTGGATACGGGGATATACAGAGATGTGGAGGAATTATGTATTTCCAGAAGAATAACCAAATTGTTCTGCTCAGTGCCCTATTTTGTCAAGTGCTATGGTTTATGTGATTATATTAAGCTCAGTACTGGGTTATAATAAACTGTAAGGTGATGAACTCAAAGGCCTCACAGTTGAATTCCCTGTTCTCCTATTTGCACCAAAAGGCTTCCTGTTTTCTCCATTTCTTAAACCGAGACCTCCAAATCCCTGATCTTTATCGCATATGGCTTTCTGTGATGAGAGGTTAAAGCTGGTTTTGTAGCCCACAGTGGAACGACACTATTCCTTTCATCTCTGCCCACGAGAAGTAGACAGCGTTACATCCCATCCTTGGAAATCAATGATCCGAGCAGATGAGCAGTCCCAGTCCGTCTAGAGATTCTCGACCTAAAACAAACAACAAAAAAAAAAGGAAAGAAAACAAATACGTATAAATACAAGTTTAGTGATCTAGTGGGAAATCACATCAGTATTAGTCATTTGCTGCTTTGGCTGCCAAATACACAACAGAATAGGAATGCGGTTACAAGAAACACAATTGACTCAAGAATACCAAGATACATAAATATAATTTAGTAATGGTATTTTATTTCAAGCAGAAATGCCATACAAGGTTTTGGACAAGACCTCAGGCAATGACATATTCAGTAAATGCACCTGATGCCCAGCTGTGAGCCACATATCTGCTGTTCTGTCAGTTCTCTGTACTTAGAGTAAAGAGGCCTGTTCTCCCTATACTGTAATTAACTCCTCTGCTGCAAGCGGCAGTCCTGAGAGCAGGGCATGGCTTTCAGGTCAAGTTCCCTTGTGTTACACGTATAACCTCTATTATATTGGCACACGTTTCCCTTGGTATAACTGCAATTCACCCTCCCCATGCCTTCAACGTACGCCCTAATTCACATGCATTGGCCCTTACATCCCTGTGGATGTCACAGTGCTCCATGTTTCGCTGAGCTCCACTGTACATCATGTTGACAATAAAAATTACAACTCAGCTTCTGTTTTTCACGGTGCCCTGTCAGAACGAATGCGATTCACTGATCAGGACAAATTGTATACATCCCGACTTTATCAATATTTATTTCATTATACAAATTGGGATGACGTAGGGATCGGCACAATTCCGAAAGAGAACATGTAACTCTTTATTCGACAAGGGCAAGCCCTAGACATTCGAGGTATTACAGGATCTGAGTATAGAATAAAATACAAACTAAAAAGGAAAGTTCTAAAAAGGAAAGTGATGGTTTGCCAAACTTCTCAAATGCTAAATGTCACAATCGCCCCTTAGACATCTTCATGTCTTTTCTTATGGCCAGAGAAAAAGGAGGGGTCTCAAAAAATAGAAGGTTGTTCTGATCACAAATGTATAGGGGAACCCTGAAAAAAAAAATCAGGGTTGGTTAAAATGTTGTAGGTCCATTTTCCCATAAAGCCAAATGGTAAGCTAGCAAAGTTTCCCCATCTGGAAAAGAGGTGTTCACTTGGAGACCCAAAGACCAAGTGGAACCCTTTATATGGCTATGCTTTAATATATATATGAAATGCTGAAAGCACAGAGAATTGGGTACTCCATGTAAGCATTTATGGTTGCTAAGATATACTATAATGTAAAAACCAAGCGAGAGATAGCACGGGTCTTTTGCTGCAAATATAATTACACTTATTCAAATTGTAGTCATTGTTTTGACACACGTCATTTGACTTTTTTCTTCCAAGCCATTTAATGCTTCTGCTTATGGAACAGTTAGCGAGGTTTCTTTCTGCCAATGCCAAAAAGCACAAAATATTAACAATTGCATGCAACAATTAATTAAACAGCAAAGTTAAACTGCTAGCACACAACTTATGTCTCCTAAAACAACCACTTTTTCATTTTGAACCAATCTGACACTGGCAAAAAACAAACAAACAGTTATAATTTGACAACGTTTTGTGTAGTTTAAACTAGAGCACAGGTCAAAGTGGACAGTGTCCGTGTCCTAAGACTCATTCTACCTGACTTGTGCAGGTGTTCCAGGATTGCCTCAGAGATAGGGATGAACCAATTCCTATAGACGTACCCATAGTCATCTGACTCTATAGAAAGATATAGAATTGATAGCATTTTAATGTTAGAAATACAAATATGTTTCTAATGTTAGAGTGTTCTGTATTTTATAGTTTATGTGCCTTGTAAGGCGTTTGTCCTTGATGGGAATATTGACATGTCATATTCATTAACATAAAGAACCAATATATGGGCAATATTGACACTTTACTAGTTTACAATTGCAAATCCCCTACTTACTGTTCTGACTACTAATATTCCCATGTAGTTTTTTGCCAGAACACACTCTCTCCTGGGGTTGATCCAGATGGTGGTCTGCAGATGTCTGAGGATTTACAAGGAGCACCTCTATGCCATAGCAAAGAACCATGCAGTGATCGTACTAAAATGCTAATTCATAGATACAGATATTACACTACAATACAGATGTAGGATTGTAGGAAAACGAGGAATAACCAGAGATTCAGGATGAAGGAATTTCAAAATGTCAGGTACATGGGCAAACATGTGAAACCAAAGGACAGGCAGAGGCCAGGAACTGTAGACATGAAAAAATAGCAGAATGAAAAGTGTTCTGTAGTAAATCAGAAATATAATGACAATGCGAGGACAAGGCAAGGATGTCTTAACAGGTTTAAAAAGGCAAGGCGATCCATGCACGGTGCAATTATTGGAACCAATGTGTCCAAGGATGATAAGACAGAAAGTGCAAAACAGACAAACAGGGAAGTTATGTGTGACTCATGAGCTTAGTAACTGACCATCAAAGTTCCAGTATCCATGATACATTTCAGGCAAAAGAGCTACAAAGCAATTGGTTATGGATTGGATTATGTATAGGTCTTAGAGAGGTGCTGCTAACCTACAAAACATACTTTGAGAGAACACATACAAGCCTTGGTCCAAGACTATTTTGTGGCACCATTTTGGTGCAAGTAATGGTATAGTTCCCATATTATGTAGGATACTACAAATATTTTGCACTCTTAAACCTCTGGGTTGAGACAAGGGAAGTATGTCTCTACTTTAAAGGGATTTATTTAAAATCAAGATCTTGATGTTGATGTTAGGATCCAAACACGAAAGACGTAGATTATTTGTACTATGACAACAAGTTAGGAAAGAGCATTATCATGGCATCATCTTGTTAAATAATTGTGGGAGATAATTCATACATTTGTCAATGACGGATTATTTGGAAGGCTGTGGGAGTACTGTTGAATGGCAGGAGTGTTACATTACCAAAAACATGCATCGAATGGACCATAAATACTCTCTGGCATATCTGGAACTAATTATGATGCCTCAGATACATTTTGATGACATACGGGGCCGGCCTTGGTCCTTTAGGCGCCCTGTGAGAAAAATATTGACAGCGCCCCTTCCTGGTCATATCCGCTCATTTGTGTATAGTGTTTGTATCAGGGCTTTATTAAATTAATAATTGTTAAAGTACCAAAAAGCAAATATTCATTCCCC